AGAGAGAGAGAGAAAAAAGAGAAGAAGAAAGAGAAAGAAAGCTTATGAGACACAGAGAGACGAATAGAGCGACAGACAGACACAAACAAGACAGAAAGACAGACAGGTAGACAGAGACGTCCACCCTGGACACCCAGGAGTGCCACCGCCGCGCAGTTGTCTCGCCCACTTTTAATTGAACAGTGAAAGTCGGTGCCGCGAGAACCCGTCGGCCGCCCACGTGCCAGGCCGCCCTCGCCGGGGTGGAGGACTGCTTACACACGCGCACGCGAGCGCTGTGTGTGTGTGTGTGGTGTGTGTGTGTGTGTGTGTGTGTGGTGTGTGTGTGTGTGTGTGTGCGTGCGTGCGTGCGTGCGTGCCGGTGTGCTTGCGTGCGTGCGTGTGTGTGTGCACGCGCGTTCGACGGAATTCAACGCGAGAGAAAACAACAAGCCCAGATAAAGACGAAAAGAAGAGAAGTTCGCGAGGCCGCCCGCCGCGTCCGAGGCAGCCAGCCCCGGCGGAGGCGAGCAGGAGACCGCGCAACAACGCCGTGCAAGCGGTTGCATCAGCCGCCGGCCGGCGTGTGGCAACGGCGCGAGGGGCGGGCGGGGAGGCCAGGGACCAGGGGGTGAAGGGAGGGAGAGGGAGAGAGGAGGTGGAAAGGGAGGAGGTGGAGAGGAGGAGGTGAGAAGGTGGAGGAGGAGGAGAAAAGAAGAAGGAGTAGGAGAGAGAGAGAATAAATAAAGAGAGAGAGAGAGAGAGAGAGAGAGAGAGAGAGAGAGAGAGAGAGAGAGAGAGAGAGAGAGAGAGAGAGAGAGAAAGAAGAAAAGAGAAGAGAAGAGAGAAAGAAAAGAAAGAGAGAGAATAAAATAAAAAGAGAAGAGAGCGGACGAAGCCCTGGTGACGGTGCCCCCCCCTCCCTCCTCGCACTGGCCGCGCCCCTACGTCAGGAATCGCGACGTCAGGAGGTTCCTCTGTTTCGCCGTTTTGGCGCTGCTTCGTCCGTCGCGTTCCTCACCTAGGCCCCGTGGCACTATACCTTGGCGCCGTGGCACTATACCTTGGCGCCGTGGCACTCTGCTGAGCGCGGCATCTAGATTCGAGTTTCACTGATATTCAAAAGATCATTTCATTTAAATAAAAAAAGTGTTTGGCATTAAAACTACAGATACCATAGCATCGAAGACGACGTTCGCCTCCACCACCTCAATTCTCCCTCCAACGCCCCTCTCCCCTCTCCCCGCCGCCCTCTCTCACGCGCGCCCGCTCAGCCACGCAGGATTTGCGAAACGCCCTTCGCACGCCCCTCCCCGCCCCCTCACCCGACGGCGCCGACATCTCCCGTAACGAAGAGCCGAGCGGGACTCGACGCCTCGTCACGCGGCCCGTGCGAGTGACGTCATGCGAAACGTCAGCGAGCGTCATGCACCTGGCCTGTAAACACCGGCCGACTGACCTGGGCATCTGGTCGGACCCGAAGGCCAGGTGTGCGCGCGTGAGGGCGCAGTGCGGCAGGGCGGCGGCGGAGGAGGAGGAGGAGGAAGGAGAGGAGGAGGAGGAGGAGGAGGAGGAGGAGGAGGAGAGGAGAGGAGGAGAGGGAGAGAGGTGGGGGAGAGGGAAGGCGAACGGTGGAGAAGCAGAAGAAAAAGGGAGGGAGGCGGTGGTTCAGAATAATAATAAGGGAGAAACGTTGAGCGGGATGGAAGAAGAAGAAAAAAAAGAGAGAAAATACCCTACATTCCATAAATCCACAAAAATAAACCCAATCCCACAAAGACAAACAGACCCCTTCCATCACAAATAAGGAAGTCCCAAAAGTCCCAACTTAAACACAGTCTGAAGTTGAAAAAAATAGCCCACACCTCTCAGACTCAAAGGATCCATTTTTCCCCCACACGTAACTGTAAATATGCACCCCCCCCCCTTTCCCCCACTCCCCTCCCCCTCCCCCTCCCCTCCCCACTCCCCTCCCCCTCCCCCTCCCCACTCCCCCTGCCTCTCGTAGCATCGATCCCCAAAACCTCCATCGAACAGAATCACGACCATTCACAGCGAAATTCCGAACGGCCATAAAACCCACGCGGGCGACAAGACAGACAGACAGACACACACACACAGCTGGACTGCAACAATAACGGGAAACGAAGTCGCCCTCCGATTGCAAATTGCAGCGCCATTCTTGCAAACTACGATCTATAGTGATGTTGCAGACTGGCCGTTGAAGAGTTCGAGCGCGTGATAAAAACGGATGTGCGGTCGTGGATTCCTTCTTTCGGGCTCATAAGAGAGAGAGAGAGAGAGAGAGAAGAGAGAGAGAGAGAGAGAGAAGAGAGAGAGGAGAGAGAGAGAGAGAGAGAGAGAGAGAGAGAGAGAGAGAGAGAGAGAGAGAGAAGAGAGAGGAGAGGGAGGAGAGGGAGAGGGAGAGGGAGGGAGAGAGAGGGAGAGAGAAGAGAGAGAGAGAGAGAGAGAGAGAGAGAGAGAGAGAGAGAGAGAGAGAGAGAGAGAGAGAGAGAGAGAGAGAGAGAGAGAGAGAGAGAGAGAGGAGAGAGAGAGAGAGAAGGAGGGAGGAGGGAGAGAGAGGGAGAGGAGAGAGAGAGAGAGAGAGAGAGAGAGAGAGAGAGAGAGAGAGAGAGAGAGAGAGAGAGAGGAGAGAGAGAAAGAACACATTAATGCTGCTCTTCTGTTCACATCATATGCATGTATCCACCTCCTCCTCTTCCTTATCCTTCTGCTTCTACTCCCTCTGCTTCCTTCCCTCCGCCAATCTCCATTCTCTCCCTCTCCTAATCCTCCTGCATTCTCTCTCCTCCTAATCCTCCTGCATCTCTCCCTCCTCCTACTCTCCTGCATCTCTCCCTCCTCCTATTTCTCCCTCTCCTCCCTGCTGCCCCCCCCCCCCCCTGCTCCTTCTGGATCAGCAGGTTGACTCAGCCGAGGCGCAGCGTCTAATCACGAGTCAGCATCTGCGCAATTATGGACAAACAAATACCACAAACATTCCTCTCTCTCTCTCTCTCTCTCTCTCTCGTCATTTTTCTCTGTCGCTTTCTACTTCTCTTTTCCTTCTCTTTCTCCTCTTCTTTCTCTTTCTATTTTCTTTCCCTCCCTCTCCCACCCACTCTCCATCACCCTCCAATGCCCTTCCCTCTTTCCCTCTCTCCCTCCCCCTCCTTTCCCCTCTCCCCCTCTCCCTCACCCTCCTTCCCCCTCTCCTTCCCCTCACCCTCCTTCCCCTCTCCCTCTCTTCTCTCCTTCCCCTCTCCCTCTCTCCCTCACCCTCCTTCCCCTCTCCCTCTCTCCCTCACCCCCCTTCCCCCTCTCTCTCTCTCCTCATCTCTCCTCTCCTCTCCCTCACCCTCCTTCCTTCCCTCTCTCCCTCTCTCCCTCACCCTCATCCGCTGACGTGAGGAAAATCTGGAGGAAATTCAGAGCCAGTGACGTAACCCCGAGCCCCCAGCGCCTCGCAGTTCCGAAACCACGACAAATAAGAATAAAATCTATAAGAAATAATAACAAGAAATAAGAACATAGGAAATTAAATTTATAAAATACACAAATTAGAAAATGAAAATGGGAAAATGGCGATGCATGTGTAAGAACAGTAAGAAGAATAATGAGAAAAAAAGCAGCTACAGATAAAATGAAATACGGATTTTAGACATTATAGTGGCAAGAAAAGATGACAGAGAATAAAAAGAAAAACACAAAATGGGGGGAAAAAAATGAAAGCTATAGGAAGTATCCCGAAAAAAAGAAGGAATTGAGAAACAGAGAACATAAGAAAGACTAACTTATCAAGTAAAATCAACGGACAAGAATAAAAACGAAAAATAAAGATAAACACATTCTCAGTGCAGCTTAAAGAAGGGCCAGAGAAAAGAACAAGAAGAAAATAGGAAGAGGAAATGAGAGAAATAACGATAAGAAGATTGGAAATAAAACGATAAGAGAAAAAAACGTAGTAAATGGGTAATTAAAAAAACGGAAATAAAAAGACAAATAAAAGAAACAAAATTGGGAATAAGGAGACAAGAAAACGAAAATAAGAACAGAAAAGAGAAAGATACCAAGATCACTTATCACTGGACTTATCCTTATCTCATTATTTTTCGTGATTTATTTCATTCTTCACAAACACGTCACCAACATGATCCCTCGACTTAAGTAACTAAGTAACACATTATTCTATCTTCATTATTCATGTAGATAAGTTACTGCTCCAGGCCAGCGTTGACAGAGCGAAAAGAAACGCAAATCAAAAGATAAAAAAAAAAAAAAAAAAAAAAAAAAAAAAAAAAAAAAAAAAATATATATATATATTATATATATATAAAAAAGAAACACTCGCATCACTTGCTTACTCATCAAAAGAAACTAATAAAAAACAACAACAAATAAAAGTATTGTAATGGTAACTGAAGAGTCAATATAGATACGTACGTACACAAAACATTAAAAAATAAATATAGGGCACGCACCAACGCCAAATACGCGCGCGCGCGTGCGCACACACACACACACACACACACACACCACACACAACACACACACACACACACACACACACACACTCACTCACTCAACTCACTCACTCACTCACTCACTCACTCACTCACTCACTCTCACTCTCACTCACTCACTCACTCACTCACTCTCTCTCTTTGTCCTTGCATTCCATCTGCCTCAGCTATAATACGTGAATAAAGGAAACTCACCTGTAACTGCGAGGATTAACTCTAAAAACCAGTAATAATAAAACACAAACAAACTCAAAAACAACACACACAACTCCTCCAATCGTCTGCCTCACCTGCAGCTGCGAGGATTAACAACAGCGGCAAAAATAATGCGTGGATTAACACACACAAAAAAAAAAAAGAAAGGGGAAAAAAACAAACGAAAAAAATCCAAAAAGAAGAAGAAGAAGAAGACACACACACACAAAAAAAAAAAAAAAACGAAAAAAATCCAAAAAGAATTAAAAAAAAAAAAAAAAAAAAAATACGCGAGGGCCTCAC